TTATGGATCAGTCTGCTTATTTACCTGGATTGAAGTATATCCTGTCTTTTGCTTTATTTCTAAATCGTGTCATTCTCCCACATCCCTCTCCATATTTCTCCTTTGGGCAAAGAAGTTTTGTTTGCTTCCATATTATTACATCAAGGCCTATGTCTTCTTGATGGTTATCAGAAAAAGCAAACATTTGTCTTAATTTTTCAGGGAGTGCTACTTTGAAACTTTGTGGGAAGAAAAGAGGGGTAAGATTTTGATTGTTAATCAATAGACATGACCAGTTTTAGGGGGAAAAGCATCAGCAAGGTAGCATGGCAGTGCTGTGCCTGAAGCCTTGCTCTCACTGCACATGAAGGCGGGCCATGGGAGCATGATGCATTCCGAGAAGGCTTGTCTTCCTCCAGGAGATGGTGAGGGGAAGAAATGAGGAGATCCTGCCAGAGGGGTAAGGACCTTTCACTTCCATTTGAGTAAGGCCCATTACCTTCACGCCATTTCTTCCACACTACAGGCCACATATCATTTAGACAGCAGCCTGAGAAATGGGATCAGGCTGCCTGGGGTAGCAGCCGCAGCAGAACTGAGGCAACCCATCTTTTCCTTGGATCCTGTGCACATTCTGTACAAATGGAGTCCCAAGGATTGGTTTTGCATGATATTAAGCAAATGCTTCTAAGATTCTTCATGGCAGTTCAACCTATTCTATGTAGGTTTTGTTGAGGCAAATAGTTGTGGAGGCAGGAAGCATCACAAGTCATCTTTGACTACAAATCGCTGGGCAAATGTTGACGGCAAAATGTTTACTCAGTTTTAAGACTGATGAAGAGAGTGACATTAATCCAACATAAATAATTATCTAGTGCTTCTTTGAAATCAAACTCCCTCCAAAAGATCTGCAATTTGTTTCATTGAATTTCTTGCTTTCCAATAGTTTATCAGATAAAGTCAAAGTCTGCATTATCTTATAAATAAAAAACTAAGAAAAAATGTAATCTGCTGGTATTGAAAAGGTAAAGATACTTTGAATTATTGACAATTTTAAGATACAAGCTACAAAATAATATATATGGTTATATTTCTTTTATTTTATAGACTTTTTTGCTCATTTATATGTGTATTTTATATAAACCTTTTATCTCAGAATAGTTGTAAATTTACAAAATAGAAGTAGTGACATAGTACAAAGAGTTCCCATATTCTGCAAATCCAGGTTAACAATTACTATATCATGAGTATGATGTATTTGTCATAGTTAATAAACCACATTCAGCTTCCCTCATTATTAACATCTCATAGTCATATGATGAATTTGTCACAATTAATGAATCACACCTAAATTCCCCTATTTTATTCAGATTACTACATACAAGCATCTATTTAATTTATATGTTTATATAGCTATATAAATTATATAGACATGCTTGTTTGTCACACTGAAGAAATGAATGGTCAAACTTTGGTCAAATTTGAAGAGATGAAATATTGGAAATTGAAACAAGGCAGGAGTTGTAGATTCTTTCAGTAATTGTTGTGATGATACCATAAGCCATCATTACTTTTAAAGTGAAATAGGAGAGAGTGGTGTTGCACTTAACAATGCCAACATCCCATATGGGCCTTGGTTCATGTCCTGGCTGTTCCACTTCTGATCCAGCCCTCTGCTAACAGCCTCAGAAAAACAGCGTAAGACAGCCCAAGTGTCTGGGCTCCTGCCACCCATGCAGGAAACTGGAACAAAACTACTGGCTCCTGGCTTCAGCCTGGCCAAGATCTGGTTGCTGCGGCCATCTGGGGAGTGGACCCACAGATGGAAGGTCTCCAGATCCGTCTCTTCTCTGTGACTCTTTCTAAATAAATAAATAAATATTTTTTCTAAAGAATAAAATAAGAAATATCTACATCTTGTGTTTTATTACTCTAGAAAAGTTAACAGTAACCTAAAAAAATGACCTTTTTAAGAGTGTTTGGATATTGCTCACTTTTTCAGACTGATTTTGTAAATTTCTCTTCCAGGGCGCTTCTTAATGGGCAGAGAGTCAAATAATAGTGGTGCTTCTTTAAAAGAAAAAGGGGTATAGATACACTATGGAATACTATTCAGCCACAAAAAGAGTGCAATTATGTCTTTTGCAACAAAATGCATGCAACTGGAAATGATCATGCTTAAATAAGCCAGTCTGAAAAAGACAAATACCATATATTTTCCATGACTTGCGCTAATTATTATACTCAGTAAAAAACTAAAATGCATACTATCAAAATTGAAAAAATAATAAACTAAAAAAAGAGGTGGCAGTGATCAAAATGAATTTCATTTAAACTTGAGGAATCGGATGCTCCATCAACCATTCTATGGTGCTGTGTTTGTATCTATTGTTGCATTTTATCTATTGTTTAGTCTGCAGTATACATTTGAGACTTTTAGTTTTGATCCTTATTGTATTTTTGTTTCATTTTTATTATTGTGTAGACAAAATGTATACCATCTGAATTTGAAAACACAAGTTGTACTTAGGATACTAAGTATGCCTGACAGCAGTCAACTGGTAAACATAAAATGAGATCTGTGAATATTTTGTAGAGCTTTCAAAAGTGGAACTAACTCAAATTGTTCTGAAATACTTAGTCTTCAACCTTCTTGAAACCACTGTGAGAGTTACCCTATTGGAGAAATCAAGTTGAAGCTTAGGAGTTGGAAAGATGTCTTAAAAGGTTTGGAATCTTCAAACTGAGATTTAGTGCCATTAGCATCCCCAATTTCACAGAAAGAATGTAGAACTGCTTGTGATCTGTAATGTTTGATGACATTGACAGCTTGGAATCCATCTCAGCTCTGAAGTCACTGTACAATCCAGAGCAAAATGTCATGAGGTGCCAGGACATCCAGGTATGTTGTGGGAGAGGCAGATTATTTTAGTTCATGTGTCTAGTCGTTACTAAAGAGTCTCCAAATGAACACCAATGCAGCTTGCTAGATCGAGGCTTCTATCTCTTTGACTACATGAATCAAGACATTCATGTACTTTTGATTAGGCTCATTATGCCAGTTTGTACAAATCTTTGTAACCAAGATTTTCAATCATAGGTTTGGTGAATTTTGAGAGATTCAAAGAATTGCTTTTCGAAACAGAGATGAAGAAGAATGGAGAGATATCACGGTCCTACTAAAGTTGAATGAAAACTTCAGAGATTCAATCTTTGTTGCATTCCTTTTTCCAAATTTGAAAAAAAATTGTGATCATTTTCTTTGATTTTTTTCGTTCTTCACATAGTAATATTTACTTTTGCTCACCCAGAAGACAGAGGACCATGAATGTGATCTTATTTAGGATGGCATGAATGTGTAAACATCCAGAGGATCTGATTATCTCCATTTTATTGCATCACATCCACATACATGTCTATGTGCACGCACGCACGTTTGGCATGCAGATCTGTGTGTATACTGTGATTCTCACTTTGTTAAAATACAAACACACCCAGAGTAAAACTAGGACCAGCAGCGGTTACGCCCAGTGGTTAGGGCTAACATAGCATTTGTTCCTCTTCTTAAATATAGTTTCTTTTCAAAAAGGTAACATAAAATAACCCATTTCATTCTCATAATCACTATTTGCAGTGTTACCTTTACCTTATTTAAGAAATAAGGAAATAAAAATTCACAGAGGTTGAGTAATTTATCCCAGGTCTTATATTTTTTATCTGCTGGGGCTATGATTTGAATCCAAGGCTTCCTGGACTTTTAGAACCACTTTCTAAATAAAGTAGGTTGTGCATATTAGTGATCACCTAGTGCTTTCAACAAAACATAACTACCTACAAGCACCATATTAATTCTTGGAAACCCACATGTAACATACTTATATCTGAATAAAAAGAGGCACGTTAGCAGTTAGCATGTTTCTAATATCAAGGTTCAAAGTTGTTCAGTTTATATAATTTAATTCTCATATTTCTAAGTGCAGGCTCTGCTAAAAAGGCAATTTGATCCTCTGCTTTCATTTCAAAGAGGCTATGATATTAAAGACTGGGCGCTTGAAGCAGTGTGTGTGCTAACAGATAAAGTGGTGGGCTTCTGCTTAACAGGTCCATGTAGACAGACTAAATGTTCCAAGTACCCAAAGAGAACACTTACCTGCCATCAGATAAGTTGTGTAGTAGCAGAGTCTCAACTTCAGTTTGAAATAGGGATGGCATTGAAGAAAAAATACCTGCTCTAAGGACATTTGCTCTTATGAAAATAACTTGGTTCACAGAACAAAGTTCTAACCATATAGATTAACAGGACGGACCTATGGCCCCTGTTTGTGTGTGTGTGTGTGTGTGTGTGTTTTGTTTGGCAGAGCTTTGTAGACTTCTGATATTCTAAATCTAAGCATGCCTAAGTATATCTCCTGCCACATACATGTTCTCTAAGATGTAGTGTCCTAAGCAAACAGAAGAGGTATTGATTGCAAACTATGCTCTTACCTCCTGTTCATTGAAGGCAATGCTCTGTCTGATCCTCCTCCTGAGTTCCAAATGTCAGAATACTCATCAGGAAAAAGGCTCAAACCCAGTCTGGTACCCAACAACATGCCCAGAGGAGATGGACGACCACTCTTTTCACCTTCCACCCCGCACAACTCTCTTGTTTCTACCCAAGGACACTTGGGTCAACTCTGCCCAGCCTTGTCTCATTCTGCTCTATATTCTTGATCTCATCCATTGATACCTATGCCCCCCTTTCCTTCCTCTTGAGGAAAAATAAGTAATCCTTTTTTAAAAAAAATAAACTTTGTCTGAATAGAACAAACATGCTCAACTGTACCTGATAGAAAAAAAGCCACACATTTTGAAAGCATCTTGTCCTGATAAACACATGTCAGTTAGCAATGGTGCTCTTACATGTCCTGGAAAAGCCCTTCAAACTCTACAAGACTTTCCATTCCTTCATTAATATTACTTGTTTTCGTTAAGAGTCAGAAACATGAATAAGCACATACATATAATCTGCTGTTACATACGTTTTTACCAAAGTTGTAAACGAATTGCTTGGAATTTCCACTATTTTCTTGGTTTGCGTTTGTTTGGTTTTGAGCTAGCCTGGGAGCCTCTTCAGTCTGCAGCATGTTATAGACATCGAAGATGGTGATGCACTCATGGACGCATTCTTGGAGCAGTTCCTAAATCATGAACAGCACATGCTTGAGTCATGGGTTCCCCTCTGTTCTTGTGGAGAGGGAGTGTCATTCTGCACTTGCAGATGTATGCATGAAACTTGAGATTAGCCTTCAGGAACCGTCTGTTAATTAAAAAAGGGAAATCAATGGGCCTCTGAATCCACCTTTTCCTGGGGTTGATTAAAATCCAAGAGGAAATTAAGACCAAGCTAAATAGAAAGACGACATGGGTGGGAGAAATATTTACCACGTAAACATGACTCTGTCTCAAACACGTACAAAATACATTATTCTTTATCGCAGAAAAAAAAAGATATTAAAAAATCCAGTGACTGATTTTGCTTCTTGAACCAAATCAAATATTTTCTTGTCAGAGCTCTCATAACTGCAGCCTGCAGAGGTCATGGCCCTAACTTTCTCCTTCAGATGGTCTGTGAGTAGAATGTCCCATGATTAAGCCTCCTTTTGTTTTCCTTGGGACGGTTTTGCTTACACTGGCAAGCGCCTGAGACAGACCAAGGTTCTCTAGACTCTGTTTATTAGATTTTTATCTTCTTATCAAAGTCTTCCTTCTTAAATCATGTCAGCATTTTAGCCCTCTTCAGGGATTCCTGGTGTTTTATTGTCTATGATCGGCTTGGTGGGGCGGGGGTAGCTGTGGAGAGAGCTAGCCTAACAGATACAACATTGGTACCACAGTAGGAATGGGAGGAGGCTGCGTCCTCTTTTTATTCCCACACTCACGGGTGCTTCCTCCCCCTGCCCCCAGCCCTGGTGAATCCGGATGCCTGCTCTGCCCATACTTATCCGTCACTGAGTGACGCGGCTTCTCTGCAGACAGCCTGCTTTTCAGTCATTTTGAGTGGCTCTTTAAACCCATATGCCCTTGCTGAAGCCATTTTCAATCACCCAGAGAGACCAGGGGGTGACTGGGTGATTGTTTGGAACCTGAGAATGTTGCTGGGTTTTATTTACAGAAGCAATGTGGCTGGGGGGCGGGGGTAGGGTTGGGGGTCCATTTCTGAGCCTGGCCTATTGTGCTAGAGCAGACTGACACTGTAAAGCAATCTCATGCAAAAATATCCAAACTGCACAACCTAAGCAGGGAAAGGGGAGGTAAACTTGCCTCAGTTTAGCTATGGGTGGGGTTTTACGGTACAGAGAAAGTGGGAAACCAGGGAACCAAGAGGAATTCACAGGCTCAGAAAGTGAATCCTCTCTTTTCCTGCGCATTGAACCCACATGACTCACAATATTACTTTACTTAATTGTAGGCTGATCATTTTAAGTCATATAGATCTAACAAACAGGTGAGTTCTAACCAGTAATACTAAGTGACGACTAACTGACTAACTGAGCACCTAAAAGGAAACCTGTTGAAGTGAAATGGACACTATGAGAAACATTGACTTGATCAGCCCTTGTCCTGTCAAAGAAAAACTTGCTATTTTACTCCTTTTAGTATCTTTTTGTTCTACTTAATACCATTGGTTGAACACTTTAATTAACACACAATTATTCTTAGGCTTTTAAAATTAACTGAAAAGTGATCCCTGTTAAATATAAGAGTGGGAATAAGAGAGGGAGGAGATGTACAATTTGGCACATGCTCACTTGGACTTACCCCTAATGGTAGAGCTAGAAACGTGCCAGGGGATTCCGATTCAATCCCATCAAGGTGGCATGCACTGATGCCATCTTACTAATCAAAGTGATCAGTAAGTTCATAATTGATCATAATGATAGGAATAAGTGTCAAAGGGATCACATAAACAAGACTAGTGCCTGCTAATAATAACTGATAGAATTAAAAAGGAGAGAACAATCCAACATGGGAAGCGGGATAAAAAGCAGACTCATAGAATGGCAGATGTCCTAAACAGCACTCTGGCCTCAGAATCCTCCCTTAAGGCATTCAGAGCTGGCTAAAAAGTCCATGAGAATTTCTCAAGCATAGAAAGCCAAGACAAAGGAGGTACCTTTCTCTGAAAGGAGGAGAGAACTTCCACTCTGACTATGGCCTTTTCTAAATAAGATCGGAGTTTGTGAACTCAAGAGGCTCCCATAGCCTTGGCAGCTCATGACAAGAGCCTCGGGTGATTACTGACGTCATAAATAAGAGTGTCAATTGTTGAATCAACAATGGGAGTCACTGTGCACCTATTCCCCATATAGGATCTCTGTCCTTAATGTGTTGTACTATGTGAATTAATGGTAAAACTACTACTCAAACAGTACTCTGTACTTTGTTTGTGTGGGTTCAGTCTGTTGAAATCTTTACTTAGTATATACTAAATTAATCTTCTTTAGATAAAGATAATTGAAAATGAATCTTGATGAAGAATGGGATGGGAGAAGGAGTGGGAGATGGGAGGGTTGCAGGTGGGAGGGAGGTTATGGGGGGGAAGCCGCTATAATCCAAAAGCTGTACTTTGGAAATTTATATTTATTAATTATATATATAGTTATATATTAACTATATATAAAATATATTAATTAATATAAAATATATTATATAATAAATATATATTATATATGATATAAATAAATTTATATTCATTAAATAAAAGTTGAAAATAATAAAAAGAACAAGGAAGAATCAGTTGAAAATAAAAATAAAAATGTCTCTCTTTTAAAAAAAATATTGTCTGGGTCCGCTGCTGTGGCGTAGTGGTTAAAACCACCTCCTATATGGGTGCCTGTTCAAGACTCAGCTGCTCCACTTCGAATCCAGCTCTCTGCTATGGCCTGGGAAAACAGCACGTTAATGGGCCCCTGCACCTGAGTGGGAGACCTGGAAAAGGCTCCTGGCTCCTGGCTTCGAATCGGCGCAGCTCTAGCCATTGTGGCCATCTGGGGAGTGAACCAGAGGATGGAAGACCTCTCTCTCTCTGCCTCTTCTTCTCTCTCTGTGTAATTCTGACTTTCAAATAATAAATAAATAAATAAATAAATCTTTAAAAAATATATTGTCATAGAAAAGACCCAAATCTACTTATTGAGGCCATAAAGCAACCCAGCTCTATCGTTGCTCAGTGCATTTGGAATTGGCAAAAAAAAAAACTGTAGGATGAGTGGCTGAAACAATTCCCACAGGAGCACAAGATCAAAAGGTAGAAGATGACGCAGATCAGCAAAGTCTCTCCCCCAGGAATTGATTTTTAGTTATTTCCCATAATGTCATGTAAATTGAGGATTTTTCCTGAAAAATAATTGGCATATTTTTTAATGTTCATCTATCTCTCCAAAAATATTTATTATGTTCTTACCTGTTTAGGCATTGTTTACCTTGGACCTGGGACACTGGGTTAGTGTGCACTCTGCAGTCTACAATTGCATGTACTCTTGGCCCACTCCACTGGAACTGAGAATGTGAAATTTGCTTGCTAGTCCTGCATATCCATTCTGCCCCTACTCTTTGTGAAGACCTCAGGGTACATTCAGCCTATCATGGTCAAGAAATGTGAATTCTGTGGAGAATCACATGGCATTTTTTATTCTTTCTAACGAATCTTGAATGGCATTTTTTTTCCCCTGTAGAACATTTTCCCAACTTATTAAGCAATAAGTTCCTGTGGAAAGTGCTTAACATAACAGTTTCATAGCCAGCTTTCCCTTCCAGCTGATCGCATCACAGAGAAGGAGAAACACACAGCTTGGAAATTTGGGACTAAATACTATCAACATGTTTTTAAGATAAAAATGAATAGTCATGAAAGATGTTTGAAATTTTATCATAAAAATATATGCACCTTCTGAGTTTCTACTTAATTGAGTTTTTTTTCCCCTCGATCTCTTCCTACTGAAACTCAAATTTTGAGACACTGGCTTTCTTAACTAATCTGTCAAAATCAGACTTCATTTGCATGATTTTCCAGGACTTAAGTACGCTAAATATTCAGAGTTTTTCTCCTTTGTCCACATATTTTTCTCCTTATACAGGAGAAAAATAATATAATTATGAATAAGAGTGAGGTCTTAACTGTAAATTAAAACATAATTGAAAATAGAGTGCGATGAAACTCTTAGTAGAAATATCTGTCCTATGAAGACTAAGCTGCCTCCAAGATTTTGTGAAACTAATGCTGTCATATTAGTAGCTCCTTGTTGTTACTATTAAAATAATCCCTCAACATTACTATCATTAACTCAGGATCCTTCAATCAGCCAACATTTATTTTCTAGGTACTATCTACTAGACCTGACGTTAGATCAGAAGAAGAAAGAATTAAATCTAATAATTATAACTTCTGCTTTAGTTTCTTTGTGTTTCATTGGAACATAAACAGATATTTACAATAGAGGGTAGTCTTGGCATCACAATGATAGAGAGGCAGACTGCCTGAAGAAGGCTCAGCCTAATGGAGAGTGTCCCAAAGGAAGAGTGGGGATTTAGGGAAGAGATTTCTCTTTTAGATAAAGAAGTCAGACATACCATTGGGAAACCAGATCCCAATGGCTAAGGGACATATAGAAGGGTGTGACAGAACCTGATGCTCAGGTTTAGATGAGAGTTGGGTCATGAAAGGCTCCGGACTCTTGCTATGGAGTTTTGTAATATTTGCCCATATCCCTTTCTCTCCCTCAATGGAAATAATTGTAATTATTATCAATTGCTTGGTCAATTAGCCCTATTAGCCTTAGCCTAAGTAATACTAGCATATATATATGTATATATAAGTATATATATATATATATAATCTTTTCTATTTTTGTGAATTCATTGGGATCGTATTCATTTTGTCTATGACTCTGTAGCCAAACCACTACTTTTTTCAATGATGTTTTAAGAATAAAACAGGGCCGGCACTGCGGCTCACTAGGCTAATCCTCCACCTTGCAGCGCTGGCACACAGGGTTCTAGTCCCGGTCGGGGCGCCGGATTCTGTCCCGGTTGCCCCTCTTCCAGGCCAGCTCTCTGCTGTGGCCAGGGAGTGCAGTGGAGGATGGCCCAAGTGCTTGGGCCCTGCACCCCATGGGAGACCAGGAAAAGCACCTGGCTCCTGGCTCCTGCCATCGGATCAGCGCGGTGCGCCAGCCGCAGCACGCCGGCCGTGGCGGCCATTGGAGGGTGAACCAACAGCAAAGGAAGACCTTTCTCTCTGTCTCTCTCTCTCACTGTCCACTCTGCCTGTCAAAAAATAAAAAAAATAGAATAAAGCAGAATTCTCATTAAACAATCAAGTAGAGAAATCAAGAGAACTGTACTCCCCAGATATAGGTGTCCTGAAAGTTTGCAAGTACTCAGTTCTTGTAACACTGATTTATGCTATGCACATAGAGAAAAATAACCCCCCCACCCCGCAAATAAGCAAGTAAAGTGACACAGTCAACCAAACTCACTTGTCTGATTTTCTGCTTTCAACCCTCTAAGCAGAGATGATGAGAAGTCCATGGAAGGACATGATTATGTAGGATCAGAGATGTATTTACGTATAAAGTTCTAAAACTATTTCTACAGCTATTTAAGAGTAACCATTCGCTCCTAGAAATAAAACTCACATTCCACGTTCTAAACAAAATGATGTATATTTAGGTTTATCCTGCCTATAAACAGTTCTTGTCCCAATTCAGAAATAAATTGACACATAAATTGCTATGTGCATGTGGTTTAAAACTATCCTTTTCCACTTAAACTATAGGTAGATCTACAATTAATATCATTTATTTTAGGCATGGAAATGAGGTTTCTCTCTTCAGATGGCATGGAAAGCATCTTTAAGACTTTCAGAGTAGCATTAAGTCTCAGAGAACAATATAGGACTCAGCCCTGAGAAGAAGAAAACTCCATGACAAACCATCTGGGGATGCTCAGCTGGGCTCCTTTTCATATAGCAAAATACCTGATCAATTTGACTCACTCTTGCACCTCACAGAAATGCCTTGATGATAGAACATTTTTCATGTGTGCTACAAATGCAACTAACCAAAGTGTTGTGATTCTAAGAGTACAAAAAAATTAAAAATGCATAGGCTATTAGAATTATATTTAAATTATAGAACAAAAAGTCAACTACCTTTTTATTTGTGAAACTCAAAGGGAAATGAAGCTTACAGCATTGCTCATAATGAATCAAACAGAAATCTTATAAGGTATGGGCTCAATTTTTTATACTAATGAACATTTTTTGTATGTATCTTTTCTGTCAAAAATCTACAAACAGCCGTATTTTTATTTTTATTACTATGATAATTTTGCAAATTCTGGCAAATGGGCCTTATTAAAAAATTACATGAAAGAAAGACTTCATGGAAAGAGAAAAGGCAAATATGCTAGCTAACATCTTTGTATAAGTCCTACAGTAGTAGAATCATGTTAGAATAGCACATTTGAATTTGTTTCAAGGTGGTTTCATTATCAGTTTCAGGTTAAATAATGTATGCATCACATCTCTTGTCTCTCTTTTCCTTCCTCCCCAGTTTTCACCTCTTTTTCTGTAATATTGTATCTTGCATAGCCACTCCTTCACATACACAGACACAAATACACAGACCACCCAGCAGCCAAACACACATAAACACACATGCATTTTGAACTATCATTTATTGTTTTACATATGCCTAAAGGATTATGGTTTGGCAATGACTGTTTGAAATTGGAAGTATGCATAGAGTCATGAGACAAGGATAGAAAACCCAAAGAATGAAATGGCTGATGGTAGGTGGCAATCTAATTCTCATTTCTTCCTTAATTGTTGGATGATTTCACACAGGTCAGTAAAGGTTCATTCTTATGTAGGAGCAAACCCAAGAAAGACTGATTCTAATGTATCCCTTAACTGCAGCCTTGATCCTGAAGCAGAGAGGATCTGGTTACTAAAGGATGTGTATGGGCATGGGACAGGTGTTGACAGGTTCATCTTTGGCTCCCCTACAAGGGGAGCAAATGGCAAGGTCCTCAGTGAATGGTTTTGTTTTTCAATCATAAACTTAAAGACAAAATTTGGAGCATGAGTTTAAACTAACACGTACTTTTTTTCTTCATTCAGTGCATTAATTAGCAAACATTTATTCACACATCCTTTTGTTCAATCACTAGACATTTTTAGAGTTTTGATTTTTAAAACAGTACATGCTATTTAGT